ATTATTATTATTATTATTAGTGACCGAATGAGGCATGAGGACCCAGGCAGAGTCACAAACTATTTTAATTAAAGAGATTTAACAATAACTGTAATTCAATAACGTGTAGGAAAAATGAACACAGTAAAGGTATGCAAAACAGCAAAATAAGAAACCTAACGCATCTGACTATACTGTACCAACCCAGGCAAGAGTCACAAACTATTTTTATTAAAGAGATTTAACAATAACTGTAATTCAATAATGTGTAGGAAAAATGAACACAGTAAAGGTATGCAAAACAGCAAAATAAGAAACCCTAACGCATCTGACTATACTGTACCTAGCCTTCTCTACGTATTTGGCCTCAAGCTGACTCACCCCCTTTGGGTGAGGGATCCCTCCCTCTGTGGCAGCCTCAGACCAGCTTCTGCTCCCTAGGAGTGAACCCCCACCACCTACCCCACTATGGGCAAAGCCTTTTATCCCTTCTTCCCAGGCAACACCCTCTACTATTCTACTGGTCTGAATTTTCCCATCCAAATACCTTGTTAGCCAATCACAGGGTCCAAAGGGTAACCTGGGAAATGAAGGCCCTGATAGCTACTTTAGTACAGGCTTCCCTGGAGCCACTATGTCTCGCTAGAGCCTGTAGGCCACACTGCTATAGGCCTAGGATAATGCCCCCCCCCCCTCTACAGAACATTATAGAGGCAGACCTCACGGCTCCCAGATTTCTCTCTTTTCTTCCCACATCACTATTTCCAAACAGAAGATCTGAACATATTCCCAAGATCCAGGAGCAGTTCTCAGGAAGGCCAGGTACCACCTATGATGTCCATTCCACTATAACGGCCCAGCATAATCCCTAAAATAGACAGAATGGCTTGTTCAAGATTCATTTTGTATTCTGAAAGACTGTACCAAAAATTTCATGTTAGAATTGAGAGACACCAGAAGGCAGCCACAGCAGACAGACTGACCGGCTACAAAGCCTCTAACACCGCGTGGCCCCCTAAAGAGTTAACCATAATCTCTCACTGAGTAGCAAGAGAGAGCGGCCAACATGTGCATCTCATGAGAGGAAGGGGGAGTTTAAGACCAGTCCTCCAGAGTCGAAGGAGGAATTAGATCACAGCACCTAAACAGGTACCAAGGAGAGATGCAAACACAATTATACCCCCTACCCAAAAAAGTAGCCTTAAAACAGTCAGTCAGAGGGGTAGGATATTAGATGCACCAGTCAAACTAGGGGAAGAAGATTTATGTGGCTCACAGAGATATTACAGCGGGGACTGGGAGGCAGCTGGCCTGTCACCTGCAATTAGTTTCAGGTTTTAATTATTCAAATACAGCAGGAAATCATTCCTCCACGCCCCCCCCCCATATCTAACCTCACTCACACACTAGGCTCATTCAGCCCCGCTACTTCCTGCCCATCCCACCCACCTACTCCCCCCCCCTTGTGAGACAAGACTGCTCATTCAGTCCCTTATCCCTGGGCCCCAACTCCATAACACTGGTTTTCAGCCAGCTGGCAGATGTTGACTACTGGGCACGAGTTAAGGATAAGAGGATGCAGAGAAGCCTGGAGAGAGGGTCGTAAGATAAATGGAAAATTAAACTGGCCTCTCCTCCACACACAGAGCTCAGTCAGGGAACAGGTACAAGACTGGTGCCCTCGGAATAACAACTTTACTGTGAACCTGAGAAACGGCAGACCGGAAAAGGTGTGTGGGGAGAAGACGAGACACTGAGAATAAGATAT